TGAAAAAGCCATTTGTGTATGTTTTATCTAATAGTGATTTTAACCTGCCAGATCCAAAGAGAGCTTGACTGCAAAAAATCTCCTTTAGCTTATGATATTACAGCTGCTTGTAGCGGATTTGTGCTGGGACTTGTCTCGGCTGCTTGTCACATTAGGTGTAACAATTTTTTTTACTTCACGGCAAAGAGGTCAGTTATGTTGATTCATGTTATCAATTTGAACTTCTACTTTGCGAATTGCAGGAGGTGGGTTTCGTAATGTTTTGGTAATTGGAGCTGATGGTCTTTCTCGATTTATTGATTGGACCGATAGAGGAACATGTATCCTCTTCAGGGATGCTGCGGGTGCTGTACTAGTTCAGGTAATACACTCCTAACTCCTTTACATAAATTAACTCTTTTCCCGAAGATGCAATGGCGATTTCTTGAATTTGCATAAGTGCATGCATGTAAATAGAGAAATAGTCTTATGTCAAAGGTTGTAGATTGTTGTCGTTGTACATTGTACCCTTTGCTGAGTTTTCCGAACACCATTACGCTCATAATACGAGTCTGGAGTGGTTTGTGCCAGACTCGTTCGTGTACTATGTTGCATTCTCTGATACACTTGTGTGATGAATGACTCATTTCATATTTACGGGTTCTTTTGTAACTTCCATATACATATATATACGTGCATGAATATGCAACGAAACATGATATCGTTTGTCATTGATTCTTGTAGGCCTGTGATGCCAAGGAGGATGGTTTATTAAGCTTCGACATGCATAGTGATGGTGAGGGTGGAAGGTATGTGCCTCGTGTTATTGAAGTAAACAAACCGTTTAGCTTCCTCTTAAGGAATTAGATTGAGTTTCTGCCCCCGTTGCAGACATCTTGGTGCCCCCATAGGTGATAACAAAACCGAAGAACTGTTGGGTTCAAATGGTTCGGTGTTAGATTTCCCTCCGAAAAGTCCTCTTATTCCTGCATACAGATGAATGGCCAAGAAGTCTTTCGCTTCGCTGTGCGATGTGTACCACAATCACTTGAATCTGCCTTGGAGAAAGCTGGTCTTGCTTCATCCAGCGTTGACTGGTTGTTGTTCCATCAGGCATATATGATCTAGTGTACAATTGATTCCGGTAACCATTGAGGTTGTTGCATGCTATTCGTCGCACGACTATCCGACAGATTTGATTAATGCGGGCAAACCAGAGGATTATCGATGCGGTTGCAACACGGTTAGATTTCCCACAGGAAAAAGTGATTTCGAATTTGGCGGTAATACGAGCGCCGCATCCATTCCTTTGGCACTGGACGAAACCGTTCGAGCAGGAAGGTGAAGCCAGGCCATACAATCGCAACTGAGGGCTTCGCGCAGGTCTAACTTGGGGTTCAGCAGTTATTAGATGGGGATGGAAGGTACCTTCAGCCAAATTAACCATGTTTGAAAGAAGGGGAAGATCTTATGAACAGCTCTCTCCAGTTCTAACACTCTGATCCAAAAAATACACAGAAAATGAGTTTGGAATCACATAATCTCCATTATTGCTTGTTCGAAATCTGCTACTTTTAGTCGTTTCGTTCCGAATAAATTTCGTCTTTCTTTTCCCGCAAGTAACTGTTTTTCTTTCGCGAGTATTTGTTAGACATGAGCATTTTCGATTTTCTAAGGACTTATTTTTCTCCAAAGCAACTAATTTCGAGTGCTTTTATCATGGTTACAAGTATGAATTAGGAGCCAAAGCAAAAGGACAATTTTCGTTAGAGACAAAAGTGAGAAATCTGACCAATTTTGGGGGCCAAAAATGTATTTAACCCAATCTAACAATACGTGCATTCTGACAAAACTGAGTTGAACCACACATCCCTAAACTATGATCCTAATTCTAAATTGGTCTTCAAACTTTTAGATATTCCAAATCCATCCCTAAGCTATGACTCATTCTATGTTGGTCCCCAAACTTTTGAATATTCCAAATTAATCTTCAAAATATGACCCTCATTCTATATTGGTCCCATACATTTCAATAACATCCCCAAAGATCAATCAAAAATTTAAGGATGAAATTGAAACATTCATAAGTTTGGAGGACCAATATAAGAAGGATTTTTATAGTTTTAGAATTAATTTGTAATTTTAAAAAATTTAAGGACCAATGAGAGTCACAATTTGAAGATGAATTTAAAATGTTCAAAAGTTTAAGGACCAATTTGAAATATGAGTTTTAGTTTAAGGATGTATAGTGCAATTAACTCTACAAAACTCTTATCCATTGTTAATTTAGTATATCCGAGAACGAGCGAACTTATAGGAAGTTATAGTTGTTGAAAATTGTTTTAGGTCTTATGCATAAGTGTCAATGTTGAAAGTTTTAATCAGATGTTCACATTGATGAAACGAACTGTTCATTCATCGTCCCGGAATTTTTGTTGTTTTATGTCGACTTGAGGTTATTCCCTTTGCTTTTGGAATAATAAACGAGACATACTCGATACCTGTTATACATCCTTGTATCATTAGAAGTATTATAAGGATTATAGTGCTTCTCTGTAAAACATGATTGTAAGATGAATGAAGTTTCCTTACGTACTTCTTTTACCTTTTATATGTTATAGTAGCTTATTCCTTTTTTGGGGATATGTTGCCTGATGCTAACAGCTTATCCTGATATGCAGGGTCTGTTGCAGAAGACGGCTATCGGATAGAGCAAAATCGTAACTGATAACTTGAGAAAATAAAAATAAAGATAAAGAAGACACAAAATTTACGTGAAAAACCCCTAAATAATATAGGGTAAAAACCACGGGCAACGGTAGAAGAATTTCACTATGAGAAAATAGGAATTACAACTTCTCTCAATCGACCAAGGAGAAAACAATGATAATTCTCTCTTGATAAAAAGGAGAAAACAACTCTCAAGAAATTCTCTAAATTCTCTCTAGTATTGGAAGAAAGTTAGAATGCTTTGGGATGGTTTTGAAGCTAAATGAGCTAGGGTATTTATAGTAGAACCTTTAAGGACTAATCTTGAAAATACCCTAAAAGTACAATGACTAAATGTGTAGTTTTACCATCCATGAATTTCAACCAAAATTGCAGCCATCTTTGAATCAATAGCCGCCGGCTGCTAGCCATTGTTTTAGACTTTTATTTTAAACAATCTCCCACTTGAAGATTTGATTGAAACAATCATATCTTCACACCATTCTTTCTACCTTATACCATCATGTTGCTTATGTTTCTGACAGGCCACAAGAGGATCGACACCAAGTAAAATTATCAGCATTGATCGCCTTTGTCATGAAATCTGATATGTTGTCTTTGGTATGGATTTTCTGCATATCTATCGTTCCTTCTTCCACCTTTTCACGAATGAAATGTTATTGAACTCGTATGTGCTTTGTTCTTGAATGAAATGCTGGATTCCTTGCTAGATGCAAGGCGCTTTGATTGTCACAAAACAGAGAGACGTACTCTTGATTGTGCCCAAGCTCCTCCAATAGCATCTTCAACCAAATTGCTTCTTTACTGGCTTGTGTAGCTGCTACATATTCTGCCTCTGTTGTGGATGTAGCCACAACTGACTGTAATTTTGAAACCCAACTTACAGCTCCACCAACAACTTTGAACACATATCCTGTAGTAGATTTGCTTTTATCCAAATCCCCTGCATAGTCAGAATCTACATACCCATTGATTAGTAAGTTTGATCCTCCGTAACATAATGCAATATTTGAGGTCCCTTTGATGTATCTCAAGATCCTCTTTACTGTATTCCAATGCTCTTTGCCTGGATTCGCCATGTACCGACTAACCACTCCCACTGCTTGTGCAATGTCTGGTCTTGTGCATATCATAGCGAACATCAAACTTCACACTGCTGATGCATACGGTACTCGAGACATCTCCATCCTCTCTTCTTCACTGCTAGGACTCATACTGGAGGATAATTTGAAGTTAATAGGAAGAGGGGTAGAAATTGACTTACAATCTTGCATGCTGAATCGTGACAAGATTTTCTTCAAGTAATTCTTTTCTGAAAGCCAAATCTTCCTATTACTTCTGTCTCGGTGAATTTGCATCCCTAGAATCTTGTTTGCTGATCCCAAGTCCTTCATTTCAAATTCCCTAGCCAGTTGTGCCTTCAATTCTTCAATATGATCTTTGTTGGGTCCTGCAACCAACATGTCATCCACATACAACAACAAAATAACAAAATTGTTATCACCAGACCTCTTGAAATAAGCACAAGGGTCTGCATTAAGTCTGTTGTATCCAAGGCACATAATGAAAGAATCAAATCTCTTATACCAACGCATCGGCGCCTGCTTTAGACCGTAAAGAGATTTGTTCAACCTGCAAACCAAGTTCTTATTTTCTTTTTCTTCAAAACCTTTAGGCTTGGGCATATAAATTTCTTCTTCAAGTTTTCCATGAAGAAAAGCTATTTTAACATCTAGCTGCTCTAGATGTAAGTCCAATGTAGCACACATTCCCAAAACTACTCGAATTGTTGTTAGTCAAACCATAGGAGAAAATATTTCATTGAAATCAATACATTCTTTTTGAGCATATCCTTTGACCACCAGTCTTGCACGATACCTCTCAACTTGATCGTCACCATTTCGCTTGATTTTGAAGACCCATTTGTTACCAATTAGCTTCCTTCCTTGTGGTAGTGGCACAAGGTCCCATGTATTATTTTTATGAAGGGCTTCAATTTCTTCTTGCATCGCCTTCATCCATAGTGAAGCATCTGAGTTGTTTATTACCTCCTGGTATGTTGATGGCTCACCGTCCTCTGTTAAAAGGCAGTATGCAATATTACCTTCTATAACATAATCTGAGTGCCAATTGGGACGTCTTCTCACACGATCTGATTGACGAGTTGTTGGTGCTTCAGAACTCTCTGGTTCTTGTTCATCATGTGCTGGTTCTGCTTCAGAAGAATCTCCTTGTTCAAACTCTTTTTCCACATGTATCTGAGTAGTCTCTGATTTTTCAGCGCTATCATCGTCTTCTTTTCTTTGTAGTTTATCTTCTACAAAGATAACATCTCTACTGATGATCACTTTGCGGGCAGTGGGATCCCATAAGCGATACCCCTTTACTCCATCAGCATACCCCAAGAATTTTCATTTCCTGGATTTTGGATCCAACTTTGAAATTTCTTGGGAGTTGTACATCACGTACACTATACTTCCAAATACATGGAGGTTTGAATAATCAGTTGGTTTTCCAGTCCACATCTCCATTGGTGTCTTCAGCTCTATTGCAGTTGATGGAGCTCGATTCACCAAATAACAGGCGGTATTGACTACTTCTGCCCAAAATGATTTTTCTAGGCCTGCATCTCTCAACATTGCTTTTGTTCTTTCTAACAAGGTTATGTTCATCTGCTCTGCCACTCCATTTTGTTGAGGAGTGTTCGTCACTGTGAACTGTCTTTTGATGCCTTCTTTCCTGCAAAAGTCATCAAATTATTCGCTTGTGTATTCTCCTCCATTATCTGTTCTGAAACACTTGATCTTATTTCCAGAATCAAGTTCCACCTGCGCTTTGAAGTTTTTGAAAGTTGAAAACACATCTGACTTCTTTTTAATAGGGTACACCCAACATCTCTTGGAGTAGTCATCAATAAATGAGACAAAGTATTTTGCTCCGCCAAGGGATGTAACCGGTGCTTGCCATACATCAGAGTGAACCAATTCTAGAACACTTTTGCCTCTAGAATTTGATGTGTTGAATTTCAACCCGGTGCTGCTTACTTGTTATGCAATGCTCACACAAAGTAAGTGATACATTTGTTAAGCCTGGAAGTAGCTTTTGCTCCACAAGGACTTTCATTCCTTGTTCTAACATGTGTCCAAGTTTATGATGCCATAGCATTGCAGAATCTGAACTACATGAGGCAACAGAGGCTTCTGCTTCTAGCAAAGTCTCTCCCTTCAGCATGTACAAGTTTACTGCTATATTTTTGCCTTTCAGCACTACAAGCGCTCCACGGAACACCTTCATGATTCCTTTCCGTGTCTCAATCTTGCTTGCATTATTATCCAACAATCCGTAGGATAATAAATTTTTCTTCAGGCCCTTCACGTGCCGCACATCTCGAACAACTTTGATTGTTCCATCATACATCTTCAATTTTGATGGTTCCCACACCAACGATCTCTAAGGCATGATCATTGCAACTATACACAGATCCTCCTGAGATAGGTTCATAATGATGAAACCATTCTCTTCTTGAGGTCATGTGATATGTTGCTCCCGAATCAATGAGCCATATATCTGCATATCTTTTTCTACCTTCCACGGTGGTTGACGCTTCACAACATAGAGCATCTCCATCATCTGAAGTGTTTGCGGTATTGCCTTGTGGATTGAAGTTTTTATTTAGACTCCAACAATCCTTCTTCAAATAACCATTCTTTCCACAATTGTAACACTTTAAATTCTTCTTGCTTTTCGACTTGGATTTACCATATTTGTGACTGCTGCTTTGGCCACGTTCTGTTGATCACTCTCTCATCGTTGTCAATGCTTCTGCTTGTTGCAGATTTACTTGTCTGTCTTCCTTTTTCTTGCGCCGATTTTCTTCTTGTAGAACAACAACTGTAACGTCATCGAAGACTAGACTGGTGACATTACTATTTGTCAAGTTGATGATGAGTTGATCATACGAATCCGGTAGACTTTGAAGTAGAAGTTCAGCACGTTCTTGTTCTCCTATTTTACATCTTAAGGATGTAAGTTGAGAAAATAAAGTGTTCAGCGTGTTTAAGTGCTCCGTCACTGAAGTAGATTCTGACATCCGGAGAGTGTACAATTTCCTCTTAAGGAAAATTTTATTGTGCAGCGATGTGGCCTCATACAATTTGGTGATATGATCCCATATCTCCTTAGCTGTCTTCTCCTCCTCGATGCTTGACAATACTTCATCTGCTAATGCTAGATGAAAGTTTGTCATAGCATTCCCGTCCATTTCGATCCATTTGTTGTCATCTGTGAAATCCACCGACCTTTCACTGATAGCTACTAGACAACCGTCTTTCCTCAGGATGGCCTTCATCTTCAATTTCCACAATGAGAAATTTTTCCTATTGAATTTTTCAATATCAAATTTCGTTGCCATAACTTCTTTTACGGATAGCTCTTACTATTTCACTATCGTGAATAGTTCTCTGGAATCTTCAAAGAATGGGTAATAACTTCTTATTTTCTTATGTTGGAGGATCCACCTTTTGGTGGCAACCACAAAGACAATAAGCAGATATTACACACTCTAATCTAGCTCTGATACCAATTGTTGCAGAAGACGGCTATCAGATAGAGTAAAATCGCAACTGATAATTTGAGAAAATAAAAATGAAGATAAAGAAGACACAAAATTTACGTGGAAAACCCCTAAATAATATAGGGTAAAAACCACAGGCAATGGTAGAAGAATTTCACTATGAGAAAATAGGAATTACAACTTCTCTCAATCGACCAATGAGAAAACAATGATAATTCTCTCTTGATAAAAAGGAGAAAACAACTCTCAAGAAACTCTCTAATTTTTCTCTAGTATTGGAAGAAAGCTAGAATGTTTTGGGATGGTTTTGAAACTAAATGAGCTAGGGTATTTATAGTAGAACCTTTAAGGACTAATCTTGAAAATACCTTAAAAATACAATGACTAAATGTATAGTTTTACCATCCATGAATTTCAACCAAAATTGCAGCCATCTTTGAATCAATAGCCGCCGGCTGCTAGCCATTGTTTTAGACTTTTATTTTCAACAGCGTCATGACTTACTTAAGTTGTATAATGAGATTGATGTTCCTCCTGAGCGTTTACTGTTTAAAATTCCTTCAACTTGGCAAGTATCTCAACTGATTGTGTAAATACTCGTAAAGACGGTAAGTCTTGGAATATAAAAGCTGAATTATTCTTACTATTGCTTGTTGGTTATCCAGGGAATAGAAGCCTCGAAATTGCTTGAATCTGAGGGTATAGAAATACATTTGACTTTTGTTTATAGGTATACGATTATGTATACTTGACAATTGATTTTGCTTGATTATAATATGCTAGATTTTGAAAGAAAGAGCAATCTCACTTACCTGACTTTACGTCCCTTTCTTCTAATCGTTGCTTTTGCTTCAGCTTTGCTCAAGCTGCAGCTGCAGCCCAAGCTGGTGCTTCTGTTATCCAGATTTTTTGTCGGCTGTGTTAGGGTAAACTTTTTTTTCTGAAAACCTTTGTTGACTTTCGTCTGCAAACCTCGATCTTTTATCATCCTTGAAACACATTCTTTTTTTTTTCCTTCAGGATTGGGCACGAAATCATTCTAGTGACACTGTGAATGATTATGATCTTTATAACCATTATCGTCAAGATTATGATCTTTCTTTTTTCAGTCCTATACCGCCAGTATCCAGTAGCCACATTGGGCCCTGAATATTTCAGTAGTCAAGCTAGGTCGAACCCTAAACTGGAGAACGCTCTCCTTTTTGGAATACTTATTTTTTTTTCATTCATAAGACTCAAAACCGAGACCTCACATAAGAGGCACTTAGCTCCTTGCTAATCGGGTCGACACTCGACAGGCATTGGTTAAGGTCTTTGAAACTGTTATGCTGACTGATATCTCTCTCTATGTTCAGCTCACAAAGTGGGATTAACTAAGCCTTGGATCGGCTATGGGACCTGCATCTGTGGAGCTTCTAGCTGCCGGACTGGATGGATATGTTAATCGAACGAAGTCAAGGAATTACTTGGCAAGATGTGGCCGCCACCGAATGTCTAAAGTGGCATCCTCCACTTCGATCCACATCTCATGGGGTATAAAATAAGATGATACATACAGACTCCATTATGTTTACACTTTTTTTTCTTCTTTTCCCTGCAGAGCAGTTTAGTGGGTCTTTAGAGCTGATCTTCAATCCTCTATCCTTTTATGGTACTAATGAACATGATGCTGATTTATAGCAATCTGAAATTGAATGTTGGTAACCCGTAAAGACTATTGTTTTGGATACTTGCATTCAAGCACATGGCAAAGCCTTCATCTTTATAATTGTTGTTGCCCCAAATTCGATAGCTTTGAGGATGACACAGTTTTTTTTATAGCTGTCTATAGATATTCTTGATGCTCGAACCCGAGACATTAAGGAATAATAATAATTCATTTACTACCGACGTCGTTTGATTCGTGCTCGCTCGACTATTAAATGTTACAAAACGGTCATCAGACTATTCATTATGCTTTAAACTCATCATTTTTTGTTAAAAAATTGATAGTATTCTGAGCTAAACGTTAACATGATGACTATGTTATGATAAATTATGATTCTATAATCTCAAAGACTATCATGTCTTAGTCATCATATTAACATCCAGCTTATACAAACGTTATTTTTTTAATGAAAAATGATGAGTTTATAACTTAATAGTTGGATTATCATTTTGTAATTTTTAATAATCGAGAAACATAACAAAATAACATTCTATAGTTGGATGATCGTTTTATAACATGACTATTGTGTATTTTACCCTACTCTTTATCATTTAACCATACTATTTCCACCATTAACCATGGTTGGTGCTGGTTCATAAATTCTTTTAATCTTTTTTTACTAACAGTCAGCACCGCGACACGTGGCTGTTATTTTCTAACCAACCTAAAATCTATTTGATTTTCATTGAAGAATGTCCACATGTGATCATGTGCTTAACCGTCTAACAACCGTAATCTTTGTCAGAAGATTAATTATACCTCTGTCCCCCGTTTGTTTCAAACTTTTAAAATTTAGTCTTCCCATTTTTTAATTCGTGAAATTCACTCCCTCTAATCTTCTTATTTAAAAATTAAAGTCTCATTAATCCATTGAGCAACCTCAGTGGTTAAAGGAAGTGTTGTTCTCTCTTGATTTTCTAGATTCGAGCAAATGCATCTATAAAGTGTTTGTGCATTGTCAATGACTAGAAAAGATTTTGAACAAATATTACATTATAATCAACCAACTAGATAAAAATATAAAGTATCATTGATTTCGTTAAAATTGTATATGAGATATTCTTATATATAAATGTTAATTAAAATATAAAATTCAATCGATAACGTATATTTAAGTTTAACTGAAATGACATGAATCAAGTGCCTCAATGATTAAGGGGATTGTTGTTATTCTTTGAGGTCTTGAGTTTGAGTATCACATATGCAAGGGGTACATAAGCGTTTATTGTCAAATAATTAAGAGTATTTAAATAAATAATATTTTGTATTCATCCCTAGAGATGGAGTCAAGATCGCAATTAAAGGAAGAAAAAATATAATTAACAATAAAAAGAGAAGTATAAAATCAAAATAAACTAAAATTTAAAAGTTTAAATAAGAATTTATCCCTATATATTTTTTAATAATAAAAATTTTGAGGACAATAGTCCCTTGGGACTATACTTAGCTATGTCTCTGTTCATTACATACTAATAAAAAGGTTAACTGAAATCAATAATTAATGATGTTATCATTTGGACTTTTATTGTAAATAAAAATTATGAAATAATATTTTTATTAATTTAGGGTAATACAAGATATTATATGTTTAAAGATAATTTTTAACCAATTGACATTAGAAGCTCGTACCTCTAATATTCTGGTGCTCGAATCCGAAACCTCAAGTAATAACAAATATTTTACCACGAGATCACTTAATTCGTACAAATTATGTAAGGATTCAACTCCATGAGTCGAGAACAAATGGACATCAATAAATGATGTGTGTTGTGGTCAGATACATTATATTTTAAATTATTAACAAGTTATTAAATTTAAATATTAAAGATTTGTTGAAATATTATCAATTTGATAGAGAGTGTGGGACTAAAACTATTTTTATATTATATCGTATCATCATTTTCGTTAAATGAACAATCAAACTTAACAACAAATGACCAAAAGAGAAATAAAACATAACATTAGATATAATTTTTAAGAAAACATAATCGAATAACCAAAATAAAAACACAAAAAATAAATAAGTGACCACGTATATAATTTATCCTATAAAAATCATTTACTTTCTCAATAATATATTTTAACTGTAACAGTAAATATTTAATCTTAAACAATATTAAACTAACCCTAATTTGGAATGAATAAAGGCTAATGTCCAACATAAATAGTGCTTTTTTATTATTCCAATCATAATCAAACTGATTTTTCAATTATTTTATAATCACACCCCAAAAGAGCAAAAATTGTTATACCCGTTCCTGCTGTTTTCTCTCTCTTACTCAAAGTTTCTATCTTTAGATTAGAGACTCTGGTTCCTTCTCCTCCTTTTATTCTTTTCCCTAGCAGATAATGTAAAACCCAGCAAAGTTTTAACCTTTTAAAAATTAATTTTCTACCTGCAAATTTTCCTAGGGGGAAAAAACCCAAAAAGGAGAATTTTGTGTCTGTGTGTGAAAAAAATGGCCTTGAGTAAGTTCTGGGGTTTGTTTCTTATCCACATTGCTCTGTTTTCCAGCTTGTGTTTGGCTGAGGATCCGTTTGTTACCTATGATTTTGAGGTCTCTTACGTCACTGCTTCCCCGTTGGGTGTTCCCCAACAGGTCTCTCCTCTTTCTCCTCTACTGTTTTTCAGTACATGTTGTGTGGTTTTGCTTAACCGTCATAGCTGAGAAATGGGTTGCCTTTAAACACCTTAAAGTTCCATCTTTTAGCTTCAGATCTACGAAAAAGAAAAGGAAAAAAAGAAGAAAATGCAGCTCCTTTTTACTTGAACTCTGTTTAGTTAAGTGAGGTTTAGGGTAATGTTGCTATAATTAGCAACTTTTAGCTTCAGATCTACAAAAAAAGAACGCAGATCCTTGAACTTTGCTTAGCTAAGTGAGGTTTGGGGATAATGATTTATTAGAATTGTGTTAATGGTTGCTTAATCTTGCATTAATTTGTAGGTTATTGCTATAAATAACAAGTTTCCAGGCCCTACCATCAATGCCACTACTAACTATAATGTCGTCGTCAATGTTCGGAACAAATTGGACGAGAGTTTACTCATGCATTGGTAGGATCTTACTTAATTTTGCAGTCTAGATTTGTTAAAGTGATATCAAGATACTGACGTGGATGATTTGGTTGAATGTTTGATGTTTTTTAGGTCCGGGATTCAACAGCGGCGTAGTTCGTGGCAAGACGGTCTGCTCGGAACTAATTGTCCAATTCCGCCTAAGTGGAATTGGACTTATCAGTTCCAAGTTAAGGACCAGATCGGTAGTTTCTTCTACTTCCCATCTCTGCATTTCCAAAGGGCTGCTGGTGGTTTTGGTAGCTTTATTATCAACAACAGAGCGATTATTCCCATTCCTTTCGACACCCCTGACGAGGACATTACCATCTTGATTGGTGATTGGTACACACGAAATCACACGGTTCGTATAATGTTACTGTATATAACGCGTAGGGTATAATGTTCGATGTGCCTAACGGGGATACCTCTTGGATTGCAGGCTTTGAGAAAGGCTCTTGATGCTGGACAAGCTCTAGGGATGCCAGATGGAGTTCTTATTAACGGCAAAGGCCCTTACCGATATAACGATACTCTTGTACCTGATGGGATCGATTACGAAACGATTAATGTCCATCCAGGTGATTACCTCATGCAAGGCATTGTTTACTTGTGATGATTTGCTTAACTGCAACTCATTTTTGAATATGTTAGTTCAATTGCTTGTGTAATTATAGGTCATGGTAGCGACTAAATTTTTGTTACATCGGCAGGGAGAACTTATCGCCTTCGAGTGTACAACGTGGGAATATCGACCTCCTTGAATTTCAGGATTCAGAGTCATAATTTACTTCTTGCAGAGACAGAGGGATCGTATACGGTGCAGCAGAACTACACTAGCTTAGACATACATGTAGGGCAGTCTTATTCATTTCTGCTAACCACGGATCAGAATGCTAGTACCGATTACTATATTGTTGCTAGTGCAAGGTTTGTGAATGAATCGCAGTGGAAACAAGTTACCGGTGTTGCCATTTTGCGTTATTCTAATTCGAAAGGAAAGGCAGCCGGTCCCCTCCCCGATCCACCGCAGGACGAATACGACAAAACCTTTTCGATGAACCAAGCTAGATCTATCAGGTTGGTTCTCCTTTGTGGTTCAAAAACAAATTATCTTTATGTTTTACTTGGTTACGTAACTTTCTGTGCTTAAATTATGCAGATGGAATGTATCTGCCAGTGGTGCTCGCCCGAACCCTCAGGGATCATTTAGATATGGTTCAATCAATGTGACCGAAATTTACGTTTTGAGGAACAAGCCACCGGAGACTATCGAGGGGAAAAAACGAGCAACACTAAGCGGGATATCCTTTGTTAATCCTGCAACACCGATCCGGCTTGCCGACCAGTTTAAGCTCAAGGGAGTATATAAACTAGATTTTCCCACTAAACCACTTACAGGGCCACCAAAAATGGAAACATCCGTCATAAACGGAACATTTAGGGGATTTATGGAAGTCATCCTACAGAACAATGACACCAAGATGCATACCTATCACATGAGTGGATATGCATTTTTCGTCGTGGGGTAGGAATTCGTTTTCCTGAACACATTTTCATGTGTTAACATGTCATTAAGCACTGTGATTTTCGACATTAACTCATTATTTTGTTGTTGCAGGATGGATTACGGCGAGTGGTCGGAGAATAGCAGGGGCACATATAACAAATGGGATGGGATTGCCCGCTCCACTACACAGGTTAGGCTTTGGAAAAGTCCATATTTTCTGGTAAAGAACACTGTTTTCAATGATTAGACTCTGATATGCTAGTTGTTTTCGGTTTCGTTTACAAATGATTATGTTTAGCATAGTTTGCAGTGATATTCATGCATTAAGCATCAAAATGCCTGCAGAGATCCTTCATGCCTTGGTCTTTGTAGGTTTATCCCGGTGCTTGGACCGCAATCTTGATATCACTTGACAACGTCGGAGTATGGAACATTCGAACCGAAAATCTCGACTCATGGTATCTTGGCCAAGAAACGTATGTCAGAGTTGTCAATCCCGAGGCTACGAACAAAACCGAGTTGCCTATGCCCGACAATGCGCTCTTTTGCGGCGCCCTCAGCAAATTACAGAAGTAAGCAACATGAGCCCATTGTATTCTCTTAAAAGCTATATTCTTCAGGCCCGTAACGGTTTTACTTGATTTCTCTTTCAGGCCGCAGGATGTCTCCTCATCGGCTACATCAATCATCGTCGGTAGATCAAAATCGTTCTTCGTGGTGCTGATTATTGCCTCGGCACTATTTCTCGGTTCCCGCTAGGTACATTTCTTTCGGGGCAGTCCATGCTCGTCCGAAACCGTGGTTCACAAGTAAGGTCTGTGTTTGTATGTTTTTAGGTGTGCTAGTGTTCGTTGATATGATGAAACTTGGGCTATTTTGATCATTATTTTTTGGTTCATGATGTTGTTAGTGCATTGTTCCAAGGGTTCCTTGTTCTGATGAATTTCCAATACACTTTAACCTACGACTGTTTCCGCGTTTTGCTTTTAAGTTCTTTTCTCATGCCTATATGCATGCATACATACATCTACATGTTCATGCATGTAAAAATATGCATGTATATTTAGGCCCATTTCACGTGTTAAGCCATGATTGCCCAAAATAAAATAATAATGTTTGATTGATACAACCTATTACCATGTAATATGATGCGAGTAAAATTCGATTTAATTAAAAAAAATCAATTTTTGATCAAACAAAATAATTTTTTTTTGAGTTCAAGACATTTGTGCATTACATTTATGTCCACCTTCATATTATTTTTATAGTGTCGAATATTTAAATTTATATAATAATTTGTATCATTTTCTAATTTTACATCATAATTAAGTTATTTTTAGTATATTTAAATCTATATTTAATATATTCCTAAAAAGATATATATGTAGGGTCTGTTTGGTATGAATTTTGAAAAGTGACTTAGAAACCGACTTTTAAAAGTGTTGTATAAAAGTATGGTTTAAAATTTAATTGTTTGGGATTGTTGTTAAAAATAAAATGTCCACTATAAACATTATGTTGTAAATTAAAAATATAACATTTAAATTATATTTAAAGTTATATATAAATCATATCAATTTAAACTATAATAAATTCAAAGACATTATTATTATATATGAATTATATCAATTTAAACTATAAAAAATACAAATATAAAATATAATTATAATAAAAATATGTTTTATATAACTCATCATTAATATTTTAATATATAAATCATAAATTTTATTTATTTTAAAATAATTAAATAAATTATTAAAATAATACATTATTTTTTAAAGATGTTTGTGTTAAATTATTACAATAAAATATAAATACATAATTGAGTAGAGTTCATACTTTAGTAACGTTCAAATTATAATTCGCTTTCAAATGCAATTATTGAAAAAGGAGAAAAAAAACTAGAAATCTTAACTTTTAGGATTGGTTTAAAACCACCGTTTTCATCGTCAAATTTTTTCTCTATTTTTTTATCTATTTCACATTAATTTTACGGTCAAAACGAATTTTTTTTAAAGTAAAACCTTAAATATGGTGGAGTCCATGAAATTTTGTATGACTTAATATTCAACACAATTGATTTTTAAAGTCAAAAAGCACTTTTCCACCCCAAAAAAGCATTGCCAAAGGGAAATTTCTCAAGTCATGCACAACTATACTCGTGTATTTTCAGTACTTACCTGTATCGTGACTAGATCAGAGAGAATGTTTTGAATTTCCGGAACTTGAATTGCCCAACATTTAACCAGATTTACATTGTCAGGGCCTTCCAATCGATTTTCAAAAAGTAGGTGTAAACAACATAAACGAAAAATGGAATAACTTGCCTGTCTTTCCTTCAATTCTTCAGGGCTCAAATCACCTCGACGAGCTTTGTTGATCTGTTCTACACATCTGCATAATAGTCGAGAGAACCAGGTAAATTATGACACCTCATGTTTTCTTTTGAAGAACAAAACATGTGTTTGCGCATGTACAAACTCTTGCTCAATACCAACACAAGTAAGCAGATGATTTACATTCTGCACACTTAGCATCACATGACCGAACATACAAGACAAAACCACCATAAACTAATACTTTATAATCATGCTAAGAATTAAAATACCTTTCGAGATATAATTTTACCAGTTCAACCACTATTAGAGTGCTTGTAAAAGCAGGGAACCATCTTAGAGATGAAGAGGACCAACGGTGAACTATGTAGTCATTAATTATTTTATACTCTCACATGATACCAGTGTGAATGCTAATCAACAAACAAAACCCACATTTTTATACTCCGAGGCGATATCAGCACGAATGTTAATCAACCAACAAGTTCCACATTTTTTATAAAGCTCATAGCAACAACTACAATGAAAGAAGTAAATTTTACAGTAGTTTTTAAGCAAAATAAAAATAAATAACCATACCTTGCCCATTTCTTAATAAACAGCAGCTCTATTTGTGATATACGAAATATCTTCATCATAAATCTCCATTGCTTTCGTGTAATGTTGAATAGCCGTCTCAAAGTCTTTTTTCTTATAGGCAGCATTTCCAGTCTCCTTTTCCTTCAAAGCTTTAGCCTTTTCTCTTTTTTCTCCTTCTCTTCTTCCGCGATTTCCATCGGTTCCGGTTTAGGCACAGGCTTTGGCTTCTTCGATTCCTCCTTGGCAGGTTGTGAAGGCGGCGGAGGTGAAGGCGTCTCCGCCTCTGGAACCTCAATGTCATCACCACCACCATGTCAATGCTTTACATTCAACAAAACACCCAAAGCTTGCATAACTCTCTGATCTTTCAAATGCTCATTCAATTTGCTAGGATTCCTCTGAATCTCCTGCACCGCATTAACAAAATCCGGCTGCTGTAAAAACACCCTAGTAGTCGGATCCGCCGTCAATTTAGCTCACATCTCCCGCCCCTGAAAAGCGTCACCGAATGGATTCTGCGGCTATGCTGACATAGCTCGAGAAGTCGAAGCAGTCGCCGCCGATTGAGCATCAGCCAAGCCGGATTTCAATGCTTCATTATTAGGATCGATCTCCAGGCCCTTCTTGTAAGCCGAAACAGCTTCTTGGTATTGGTGCAAACCGAGGTGTGCTGCGCCGAGTCTGCTGTAACCTTGTGGCCTGAGAAGTAACCAAACTCCGATAGTATAGCATCAATGATTTCGGCTTGTGCATATAGGACAATGTCATCTGCAAAGAAGAGATGAGACACATGCAGCCCATTTCAAAGGGATCGAAAAGGAAGCCAATCACCTTTTTGGACCAAGCCTCTCCATCGTTAGGACAAAAAGATGAGATAAAGGATCTCTTTGGCGGATACCTTGTTGAGGAAGAAAAGATTGGGATGGAACACCATTCCATTGAACTTGCATCGAGGAGGTACTAATACATTGCATGATGAGCTAGACGAAACTAACCGGAAACCCCGCATCAAGAAGAGTATCCTGAATGAAGTCCCAACGAATTCTGTCAAAAGGCTTCTCGGTCAACTTTTACGGTCATCCATCCTTTTTTATTTTTATTCAAGCTCACGGAATGGATGACTTCTTGATTGACGATGACATTCTCAGAGATTGATATGCTTTAGTCGTCGAATAATAACTTATGTGATCAGCTTGTAAGCAATCATGCAAAGATTGATTGGCCAAAGTCAATAAAAGATCTAATAATTAAAAGTAAATTGTACTTCAAAGTTTTATAAAAAAATCTAAATTTTTTTTTATTTTACTCATATTTTTTATATCACATTTGTAATATAATTTTTTTTCTTCGATTTAGTTGTCAATTTCTATTTGATGTATGTGCAATTTCTTTTAATATTTTTGGTAGAGTTTGACACGTACTTAATTTTATTTAATTAATAAAGATATATATTTAAAAAAAATGAGAAAAGTAAGAAATAATTTTAATTGAAAGTAAGAAATATATCTACTTTCAATGTTGAGTAAAACTCAAATTGAATAAAATTCTTTCTATGTAGATTTTCTTTGTAATTAAGTCCCTCTAAATAGATACTAGAGAAATTAGGATTATAAAGTAGTTTCTTCTAAATTTTCTTATATACTTCTTTTTGATGTTATTGGATTTTTTTCTTACGCTTGTAGTTTTTTAAATGACTTTTAAAGTACATTTTTAGTGTATTTTTATTGTGCGATCATTATATTTGTCGTTTATCTTATAACAAGGTATTAGAGTATTTTGATTAGTGGCGTTTAATTGGATACTTTGTTGATATATTATTAATTGAGGCTTTAGCAGTGGTGGATTCAGAAATATTTTTTAGGGTATGAACACATATGTTAACAATATAGAATTTTTAAATGGGGATGTATAAAAAAAATTAGGGTGAGCACGAAAAATTTCAAGGCAGATACTATCTAATAAAATAAGTAACTAACAGAAGAAAATTTGAATTCCAGGATAGGCACGTGCTCACTTTCACCAAATTGTGGCTATGGCACTAGGCTTCAAGATTGATTATCTCACACTGATAGATAATTGCAGTAATCCTAAATAAGTCTCGCTTGAGTTACGATAAAGTCAGTTGTCAACGAATTATCAACGTTGATGGTGATATTTGTTCATATCATTTATTTTTATTAAGTTGTTTGGTTGAATTATTTAATTATTTTATATATGTTTTTATTTTCATTATCCAGATATAGTTTTTTAAAAGATAATGATTTATTGTATTCTTTTAGTTATTAAAAAAATAACCGAGCATATTAATTAAAAGTTATACTATTAAAATTAATAAATTACAGATAACATATCACAATAGCAATAATGATCATTAAGAAGAAGGGCTACTTCCTTACATTTGGGAATAATAAACTATTGAAACATTCACTTGGAATTTATTTTATCAATATTATAGTATTTTAGTATGGTAATAAGCCTTCTTCAATGTATTTCCTAGAGGAAAATAAGGGCTTTAAAGGTAATTTTTCATTCCTTGGAGCCAAGGCAAAGCTCTTGACAAGTGTCAGTGCATTGCTTGTCAAATGCGCAACCTTAACGATGCGTCTCCTCACCCCATTCTTCATTTTCGCCTTGATCTTTATGTTAGCCAACGCATTCATGCAAGTCTCCTCTTCCTCCAACGCCGTGTTAACCCACATCTGTATATCGTTCATCTGAACTCGAAGCACATCCGAGCCACCGGCACGGACGCGATCGCCTTCACGGTCCATCTCCTCTATAGACATCCGCAACTTCTGCATCGAGTCACTTATGTCCGCGACACAATCCGTCATGGCGGCCTCTTCGTTGGTCTTCAGTCGATGGATCCTCGACATGTCTCTTAGCAACCTCGACGTCGATTTCGCGGCGAAAAACGTCGCGTTGAGCGCCGTATGGGCCAATAGCTTGGGGTCGCCTCTGATTTTGCTGGCATGGCGTGCTAGAGATTTCAAGCATAATTTGGGGTAGCTTGTTGCCCTGCAAGAGTTTCTTATGAACTCTTTGTGACTGCCATTAGAGGCCGAGCACGGATTGAAATAAGAAGACAACTGCAGAATAATAACAAGAAATATTAAAGCGTAAATTGAGAATTTTCTTGCCATCGGGTCTATATTTGTTTGTGTATTTTAATGAATTTGGACACCCAATTTATAGAAATCCCCTTTCTCCCCCTTCAAATCTCAGAAATTATTATGTTGATGCGATGGTTTTAATTATTCAAGAAATGTTGTAATCTTTTTCTATCATAATGTAGTTTTTTACTATTTATAATTAAACCTTATATTTTTTTAAAAATCTCATTAAATGTACAAAGTTTTAAGAAATTTTAGTTAGACCCATAAATTCTTTTTTGAAAATTTTAATTGAGCTTCCAGAAAAAATTAAAATCAATTAGACCCTAACTATTTCCCCAAAATCCACCACCGCTAAAGGTTACCGCATGTCTTTGCAATTTCGTTTTGGTTATTTCATTATTATTTTTAAATTAAAAAATAATTAAAAGTGAACACATGGCATTCATTTAATTCTTGCATGTGAAATTAAAAAATTCTACTAATAATATATCAGCTGTTTTTGCTTTTAACAATTCAATCCTCTAAGCCACTCCTATTAGTTAGTATTTTTTTTCAAATCAATTACAAATACATACACCTTGCAAATGTAACTATTCGAACCCAAGACATTCAGAGAGAACAACACTTTCTTTAACCACTAATGTCACTTTGTGAGTTTTTTTAATATTATTTAACAATTTCTATTTGATTTAGTAATCGATTAATGTGAATCATGTACCGCAGAGACACGTTATAGTAATACTCTCTCTCAATTTACTTCATTCACAACGTCAAAATTCGAACTTATAATCAGTGACAGATTCAAAAGTTTAAGAATTGGGTCAATGTTCTTTTCTTAAAATTAATATGGGTATGCAATTTTTTTCCCTTATACATTATATTAAATTTAATCCTTTTTTCGAAATAATAGGATGTATTTGACCTCTAAAATGCTTAATGCAACTGTCTCTGCTTATAACTTTACTTGAAAAGTCTAGTATTTAATTTTATTAAATCGATTAGTTGTTAATAATTTTTTTAGCCATGTAAATAAATTAAGTTAAATTATGATATTTATAAAAATAATAATGGAATTGTATTTCATGTGATGTTAGAATTTGGAAAATGTGGCCTCATGTCATGTCTTGTAAAGTTTGAAGTTGGCCTCAAAAAACATGAGAATCCATGTCCATACAAGTGCATTGTCTAGCTTTTAATGCCCTGACTGTACTGTCAATATGGTTCCTTCTAGGATGGGCATGGGACATGTGTCGGATTTTGACACGACCTGATCGGATCAAATATTTTAAAAGAATTTCGTTTCGGATTAGGTCGGATCAAATTTTTTAAGGTTGTATTCAAGTCTTATTGGGTAAGGGTTTAAGATAAAAAATATCTAATCCAATCCGATCCAAAAAAAATTGTAATTTCACCTTACATATTTAGAGAGAATTACAATAATACCCCTCTATATATTATTTTATTTCAATTAAATATTTATTTTTATTGAATATAAATAATATTTTTTAATAAATATATTATTTTGAGTCGGGTCGAGTCAAGTTTAGATTTTATCTTAAAAATCAGGTCAAATTCATATCGGATGAGGAATTTTTAATTTTCGTGTCAGATCGAGTGAACTAAAAATCCGACCTGCCCCGACCCATGCCTATCCCTAGTTACTTCCGTGACGCACCAAAATATCTTAAATCTTGTGTTCCATTTTCAATTCAATTTTATTTTATTGTTACAAAAATTTCATTTTCAATCACCATTTAATTTATATTAATATATTGATTTAATATGATTTTTTTTTTCAAATGGAACAATAATTAAAACAAAATCAGACAAGAAGTTCTCCACCAGTAATGTCGATGTAGATGATCATGATAAAGATTGATCAACAAAGTTAATGAGTGGAGGAAAAAAATTCTTTTAGGTCCCTTTCGATTTAATGTTGGAAAAATTGGTCCCTCTGAAAAAAATAAAATAATTTAGTTCTTGATAAATTTGAAAGTGAACAATGAAAATTAGTAATCACTATATTTTTTTATCAATTCAATGTGATTTCATCCGATTTATTAACCGATTAATCTATAAATTCTACGTGATTTTTATACAATATGCTTATTTGATCGTATACTAACACGCTTTGTAAATGTTGACATTGATTTTATTTTTTTACAGTGGTAATTAAATTAACATGATGGTTAACTTTGATGACTTGATTTTTTATTATGCTGTTTAAAATTATGGAGGAGTAATATTCATTTTATAAAAAAAATTAAAGATAAAGCAACATTCAATCCCTAAATTTAATAATTCTCTTAATTTAGTCCTTGAACTTTTTGTTCATATTAATATCAAAAATTGCCAACTATCGTAACCTGGTCTTTTAACTATAACTTTTAATTAATTTGGAGAATTTTAAAATTAACTGAACCTACCCAATATTAGGGTTTTCAGGCACCTGGACCGTTTGGTCGAGATTTTACGATTTGAGGGTTGTGATCATTTTCAAGTGATTGAAGAAGGAGACGAGAAGTAATGAGGGTATTGTACATGAACTAGGGGTTGGATTTAGGTAAGGAGGAGGAGGAAGTTCTTCAATTTGAACAATTAGGTACTGCCCCATTGATATCATTTGAGAATTTTTTGGTGGAAAGATTCCTCACAAGTGAGCAAAACTCAACTCAAAAAATCGATTTTTTCGACTAGACTCGAAAAAAATTCAAGTTCAAATCGAGTTGTAAAATATAACTCGAATAACTTGAAATTTTTAGTAATTAGTAGATGAATTTTCAAGTTTGAGTTGAGTTCCTCAATTATGTATGATATATGTATATCACATATGAAAGAAATATACATGTGTTGTATTTTTATAAAAAATCACACGGTAATGGATTTATATATATGTATTGTACATGATCATAAAAAGCCATTTAAATTGAAATCAAATAATATCATAATATTATAAATATTGATAATTAAATTTAAACACAAACTCAAAAATTCGACTCGACTCGAAAAAATTCCATGTCAACTCCGAGTTGTAAAATAAGACTCATCAACTTGAATAACTCGAAATTTTTTGACTCAACTCAATATCTGTTCAGACTTTATCACGAGGTGGATGTAAAGAGGATTTGGGGTGAAAGTCCTTGGTATTTTAATTCCTGTGTCTTGATTCTTCATCGGATCCTGAATGATGAGAATTCAAGAGTGGTTGATCTTAATTTTGTGGGGTGTTGAGTGTTGGCAAATGATTTACCCTTGGGCTTTATTTCTGAACAAGTCGCTAAGCAACCGGGGAATTTCACAGGTGAATATGTTGATTTTGATGCGAAGGCGATTACGTTGGGTTATAAGGGCTGCTTATGCTTTCGAGTCAGCATAGATGTTCCAAAACCTTTAAAGAGGAAGAAGAAGACATCCCTTCCAAAAGGAGGGTTTTTTTCCTCGTCGTCTTCTTATATTTGGAGGAGTATTGGAGAGCACGAGGGCTTTTGGAAGATGGGATTGCTTCCCCTGGTGAAGTGCCTATCGCTTGCTGCTGGAAGATGGGATTGCTTCCCCTGGTGAAGTGGAAGTGCTTAGAACCATCTGGGCGTGTACGTGTCGACGTAAGATCGAATTGCAAATTTGGAAGTTTCTCCTCAATTTTATGCCAACGAAACACGATCTATTCCAAAAACAGATAACCAATAATTCTTTCTATTCGAAGTTCCCTACGAGGATCGAAATTGGAGTGCATGTAGCCCGGGACCGTCATTTGTCTCAGCAGGTTTGGCAAGTTTTGGGGTATCAGTGGCCCCTCACATAGCAAATGTGAACTTTGCATAGTGATTATCATGGTTATTTAAAAATAATCATACATCAAAACATCCAGAAATCATGGTAGCCATTTGAATGCTACGGTTTGCTCGTAACAAACTCATTCATCAAGGTCAAAATTCAAGACAAGAAGAACTAATTACCTCCATCCATGCCCAGTACCTTGACTATTCCAGGGCCAACTCGTCTCCGAGGACTGCGTGAAGCACCAATTGTTCGTTGGAAATCGCCCATTTTCCAAGTGGTTAAAGTTAATTTCGATGCTCGTTTTGTACAAAACAAGAAAGAAGCTTGTTCATGGGTTGTAATCAGAGATAATAAAGGCTTTATTTTGGCGCATGTCGAAGATTTATGATAAGTGTCGTAATTATCAAATAATTATTCTTTTTTCTCGAATAATTATACTAAGAATGTAATGTAGAAAATAAGGGTGTCGGTCCACAAGGATTCAGAAATTTCTAATTTCAATCTGAATTGATATTTAACCAAGAAATATGTAAACAAGAAAATTAAAAAGATGGGGGTTTGAATGGTAAGGTAAACTAAATAAATAAAATAAAATTACAGCCAAAGCAATAATAAAAAATAGAACAAGTAAATTGTAAAGAAATAATAAAGATGAGAGATAGCCTCTAGCTTCACCTCAATCCGTCTCGATGAGTGAAATATATTTTAATTTGGATACTTTTCGGTTACAGTCTACAAGGCACAACCCTTGTAACTCACTCTTCTCTCTGGTGAACTAATTTCCAAAGCCAATCATTGAAAATTAGCCCTTGTTTGGATTAGTATCGGTTATCGATATTAACGCCAATGCTGGTTAGGAACTGAAAAAGCTCGTGCTCGGATTATGGTGTCTAGATGAGAATCGAATCTGATCTTAATATCCCTTAGAAGACTGCCGCTAAGATAGTTCTTAGGGAATTGAATTTGCTACAAGCCGGTTTTTCTCCCTAATTGTAGATCACAACGTTGATCAAACCAACTGCGCACTTTCGATTGAAGAAATTGAGATGCCTGAAGAAAGGTCGATTGCCTACCCTTGTTTGTCGAAAATCAAGAAAGAAATATGAAGATTGAAGCACTTTTGCTATTCTCTGAGAATGAATCGAGTCTTCGCTCAGCTATAATAAAATTTAGTCAAGTATGGTAGAGATCATCGACTAAAAGAAAATTTAGCCAAGGATGACAGAGATCATACTTGGCGTGTAGAGAAAAGAAGATGAAGAAGAAAAATAATTTTATTAAACTAAAACCAAAAACAAAAGAAAAATCAGAATCAATTTTTATGAATTCTAAACTTGTACATCTCTCAAGTTCATCCCTACGAGTATTTATAGTCTTGAGTTAACCTAATGAAAATAAAATGTTAACTCTTAAAAATATTATAATTCTTAATTCTAACAAAATAAAATTCCTGAATAAATAGAAAAATCTGTTTTATTCGCCTTTTAATGTTATTTCCTGAAAAATAGTCATGCACAAATTCGAATAAAAACAACCCAAATTACCACTATAAAAAATATAACACGGATCAATTAATAACAAAATATTAACAGAATAAAACCCTCATCAATTTAGTTCGAATGTTGCCTCGGTGTTGATGGCAGAGGCGAAGGCAACAATCCGTGCGGTTGATTTAGCAACAGATCTTGGATTACGACGAATCATTGTCGAGTGCGATTCCAGGTCAGTGATAAACAAATTAGCTTCATAAGAGCCGACTTTTCTGAAATCAACGCTTGGGTTTGGGAAGCAAGAAGAAAGGCAGAATCGTTTCATGCATGCACTTTCCATTTCATCCCCAGGTGAGGGAATTTGGTGACGTAACTTTTAACAGCCGGAGTTGAGCTTGGGGAAGAGGACAGTTCCTGTGTAGAATAGGGGACCCGTTGTGTGGAGATCCAAGCGGCAGAGGACAAAAAATGGTTAGATCCTCCCTAAATGACGAGTCATGCTTCGTCGAGTTATACTATTCACCGGTTAAAGCAAAAGAGGGAAGGCCAACTCATTTGCTTTTGTTTTTCACGTCTTTAAGGTGTATCCCATTTTAAGTAGGGGACACGTTTTTCTTGGACATCATTAAATGAAATAAAGCTAGCGTTTCATGTTCCAAAAAAAATTAAAACTTTTAATTATTCTAATGATACGATACTCTATAATTATGTCACAGTATTATCCATAGAAAAAAATATTTTAGCTTTTTAGGTGATGACATAAGACTTGGAATAAAATTATCGTAACATTTGTATAAATAGTCATTTTGACTCTCATTTTTTTTAAAGTATTTTAGCTTTTAATTTTAATTAAAATAATTCATGTTAGATGAAAATCGTTAGCTAATCAACTTTTTTATTAGTCTATGTGATTACAAGACAATATATGTTCAAAATACTTATAATCATTTTCAACACCTTAAAAATGACATGCTTGAACCTGATATTTGTAAAGATAACAACTATAACTTTAATATTAAAGTCATTTTGTTCGTGCAAATCTTAAGTTTAATTAATAAATCTTAATCTCTAAACAAAGTATATGACAATTACGTCAATAAAACTTATTGTATATGTGAATTAAGAAAATTATGAATATATATTATTTCGTAATCACTTTAAACTATTAAAAAAAACTTTTAATTTATACATTATAAATACACCATAGTGAATGCCCCACTACCGCATGGAGCTTTATATATTTTTAATATTTTTATTTTATAATAATCTAATATAAATTAAATATACGTGGTAAGAATGTATTTTATCATTTAAGTTATCACGAAAATAATAATAATAATAGTTTAATATTTAAAATAATATAATCTCTATATTATTTAAATTCTTTATTATTTATAAATTAAAAATATTTAAAACCTAATAATAATGTTTGAAACAGTGCTTTAAAACACATAATTTTAAATTAAGAAATATTTATTTTAAAATTAGTTGAACAAAGACATTAAATTGACTTGTAAATAAAGTTTTTTTTTCTGATTAAGTTCGATGATTAAAAAATTATTATTCTTTTGAAAAGTTATAGATTCGAATATCAAGTATTATAGTAATATAATTAAATATTAATTATTAAATGATTGAGAATATTTAGAATATATATTAATTTAAAATAAATTTTTTAAAATAAAATTCTTTTTAAGTACATTATCTCGAAAATAAAAAGTTATAAATATATTCTTTTTGACGTGTCAAGATTATAAAGCACAACTTCCGCATTGCATATTCTTTTTAAAGTGAGTGTCGGTTCCAAGAAGAACTTCACTCAAGCATAAAAACATCGATTTACAGCTGATGGTAAATTTTCCGAGAAAATTCCATATCCAAACAGATAACAGTTACAGAAACCACGAACCACAAGACACAAAACTGCAGCAAATCCCAGACAGAACATAGAAAAACAAAATTTTCTCGAGAAAATCAAAGGGATCTAAGACACTGAAGAAGAATAGTTATTGACGAGAGCCAATGCATTACTCGTCAAATGAGCAATTTTGACGACCCGTTTCCTCACAATCGTCTTCACGTACCCATTCATGGCTCTCCCCGCAAATCCATCCATACACGTGTCTTCATCCGTCAACGCGGCACTAACCCAGGTCTGAACATCGCTCATTATGAGTTCGAAATTCGAGCGTTTCAACAGGACGAGTTCGCCGATCGATTGCTGCAACTCGTCCAGCGAGTCGCCGATCAACTCGATGCAATCCGCCATGGCCGCCGCGACCCGGGGTTTCAAACCGTGGGTTCTGGCGAGTTTCCTCATCAGCCTGGACGACGATTTGCTGGCTTTGAAGGTGATTATGAGCGCCGATTGGGCCAACAATCTGGGGCTGGTGTTGATTTTGGAGGCGTAGATCGAAAGGGAACGGTAGCATAACCTGGGGTACGTCGTGGCCATGCACGAATATCTGATGTACTCGGTGTTTGTTGTGTGGTGATATGGTGTGTTGTTGAAGCTTTTGGCTATGGAGGTCGTGAATTGGAGGATGACGATGATGGAAAGGATTGCCAGTCCATGGCGTGAAGATGAAGATGAAACCACCATTTTTCTTTTAATGGGGATTGATGGGAAACTTAAAAAGAACACGAATTTGTTTTTGGTGAGTTGGAAAATGGTGAATTTATAGACGAAGATTAAAGCTTTGTGGTTCCCACAAATAAGGAATCGAAGTTAACTAAGACGCCACCAATCATAACTTTTCGTAATAAATGAATTATTGTTATTTTTTGAGGATTCAAACTCGAATATTATAAATGTTTTAGATATAAACGATTAATATTTAAAGAGTAAGAGTTATCTTTAAACATATATTATTATGTATTTATTTTAAATTATTCCAAAATAAAATTAACAAAGACGAACAACAAAAGATTTTACGGCATTTTGTTTGATTGAAAATAGATTTTGAAAAATAATTTTATAAAATAAATTAATTTTTATTTCAAAAATAATTTCTAGATGACATTGTGTAAATTATTTTTTATTATTTGTTAATATTTAGAGAAGAAGTATAATAACTTTGTAAAAAAAATGTATGGTACTATGGTGTGTTTCTAAAACACTTTATATTTAAACATTTGAATAAATTAATGTTTTATTAATATAAAATTTAATAATATAAATCTCGCATTGATTTTTTTTTTTTAAATATTTTATATTCTAAATATATATATTTATGGAGATATCGAAGATACAATTATATACATATTATCGATTAATCCAGATCACAAGTATCCCTATCACTATTTGACAACAATTTTTTTTAAACTCATGAAAAGTGTGTTTAATTATCATGTTGTATTTAAGTTCCATGTACCTAAAAGTGTGTGGAGCCATTCACTATTTTTCTACATTCAACTTTTTATATAAATCTAAAGTGATGTCGTTTTGGTGTAAATTATCATGTTGTCATCTAATTCGCGATTTAACGGTCGAGTGATAAAAACATAACAATTTAAAGCTTGAGTTAATAAATTGAATTTTTTAAAAATTGAATGACCCAAAACATAAATAAGGTAAAAGTTGAGTGATAAAAAGAATAGTTTACCCTTATTATTATTAAGATTATTATTGTAGGCGTTAATTATTTTTTTTAGAAATAACCCACTGACTTAGTTACAAAAATAATCCTAAACAACTCATGTAAGATTATCTCGCGTCCTATAAAACGCGTTTAACGAACCACTCATTTTATAGGATGTGAGAACCATCAATTTTTTCAGATAATCATTTAATATTGAATAAAGATAATAATAAATATATAAAACTCATTTTTCGTAAAACGTAAGGCTTGATCTCGTTTTTTGCAAAATGCGAGATATCTTACGTGAACAGTTAGGGGTTATTTTTTTTAACTAATATGACATGGGGATATTTAAAAAAATAATTAAAGGATTTTTTTAATATAATAACGCCATTATTTTTAGCTGCCTTTCAGCTCAAGAAACAGAAAAATGTAACGGGGATAAGGAAGAAGAGGCTAATTATGATACATTTAGAGGCTTGTATAAGGATTAAATTATTTATCTAAACTCGAAAATCGACTGAAAAGAATTAAATAAAAATATTAAGTCAAATTCAGACTTAAATTTTGGTATTTAAATTTTAAATTCGACTTGATTAACTCGAAATACAGGCAACTAACTAGGTTGCCTGGTGTCTGGAAGAGAGAAGAAATGATTTTTGAAAGTTCCAATCATTGGCTCATTGCAATGAAAACTGAATTTATAAACAATACAAGGTCTCATATGGAGAGATTACATATGATGATTGGTGTGAGGGAAAATCAATGAAAATATGTTGAGCTCTCAAGCCTTATCTTAGGAACAATAACAACATTGATTCAGATGAAAACTGATGTAATCACAAGGATACAGATATTGACATAAGATGTAACCCGGATTTTTTTACGACCGACTGAAACTCGAAGGCTTGTTTTTGTTCCCTAGTTAATGTCGCTGCGGTAGCTCCCAGTCGGGCCTTGTTGGATACTTGAAACCTTGAAGGGCCGGCATTCGTCTTAAATCTTCTTCGGAATAGACCGGGATGAACCAGAACTTCTTCTCTAGTCCAAATACCTGAATCCAGAAAAGAGTTCAATCATTTCAGGTAAAATTTTGACTTGGAATGCTTGGCAGCAGTGGTAAGATATGCATTCATGCAGCTTGTATCATTTCCAGAACAATGTTGTGCATGGTGAATCGATGAAGTTAAGAGTAACGGGAAGTAACCTGTTGAAAATTGTTCTTCCAACCGAGGTCGTAACGCCACTTGGGACTGGTTTTATTCTCATATGCCTGGAATATGAACATGCGAAAAATGAGGACCTTTACTAATTGCGTCGGCAACACGGGGGGAAATGAATTATGCAAAGAGATTACCTCAATAGTGGTGGTATTGCCTCCAACCAATGCTATGTGCATAATTAGAAAGCCCAGAATACTCAGCGCAAATGCTAAGTTTAAAACTGAAAGATTTGGACTACAATTGGTTAAAAGCATCGACAACTGATTCGATGGAAGATGCTTAAACCCTTACAAACTTACCAAATGTGATAAAAGTGGCTACAAGTGATACTGGTGTTTCATCTATCTCGCCATCGTTGAAAAACTCCATAAAAACCCGCAGTAACAATAAACTGACAAGAGTCGTCTCAAGAAATGTGTAAAACTGCATCAAATTTAAGAAAAACAAAATCGAACTCAATTTTTCCCCTTCGGCATAGTCCCACTAATCGCGTGTCAACCAGCGATATCTAGTTGGCAAAGAATCTAGTTAATATAGAAGTCTCAATATACCAGCTACCAGCAGAAAATAGGTTATAGCACAAAAGCAATGGTGAAAAGTGCAAAATATTTAAATAGCTAGAAATGGAGCATATCAATCACTAGAATACACGCTCGAGTGCATGTATCATCCGGGAAAAAGTATACAAAACCGTGGATTTCAGAATTCTACATAAAAGAATACCATCTTTCTCAATAAATTCGCACAGTAAGTTTCACTTTGAAGCATAAAAAAATACAATCCGAGTTCTATTAACATATCAACAATTCTTTCTTGATAAATTCTCACATGATATCATTTAAAAGTATGGTGGGCAATGGCATGGCATAATATTTTCAAACTATAACAGAAAACTTCATCATACTGAGGTTCATATGTGAACCGATGAATAATGGACAAAGTCCACAAACAACAGTCAGAATGAGCATTGTTGGTGTCAACTTCCCACAAACTAATCGAGGTAATATAATGACATCAGCTTCCTTGAGAAATAAACTATTAATTTTTTTTGATAAAGTGAATAAACTATTAATCTTATGAGCAATAAATTGAGAGATTCTTAAGAGGCTTCAAGCTTCATTCGTTCAGAAAATTTACGGCAGAGAACAACCATATTTTGGCTTCAAGTTTTTTGGGTTTATGAGTTATAACTAAGTAGGCCACTAATTAAGAACGATCATACATGGAGCATCCAGAATTCAGCAGCTCCATCTATTCACTTTTCCACTAATCCATATCATGTAGTGTTATGTTCGATGTTCATATTGGCAGTCACCATAAATCCACTATTATGATAATCACCAACCTAAGTATTCATAAATAGCCTCTTAACGTTAACTTTACCAAAAATAGTAGGAAATACTTGTAGTTGAATGCCCCAACACAGTTGACGACCCAAACACAGTGATGGTCCATTTTTAGTATACACCTCCTACCTGAAATCAATAAATAAACCAGGGTTTCTTTCAGTAAAGATGGCACAACAACAAAGCCACAACCAATAAATTTATCGTAGATTACTCACAAACAGAGCAGTGGTGGGTGCGAGGAGGTTTAAATTGTTTGCACTTGTGACAGAAACGAATGTCTACGCTCATGAAATCACTGGGCATAACTAACTGCATTGAGTCTAATTCTGCACTTCCGTAACCAGAAGCTACTAGCGGATCGGCATCACCTTTCTCCTCATCCGTGAGAGGCCTCCAATTAGGCGGGACACCCCCGGGATCCGTTACAACGACAGAAGAATAACACCACATTACCATTACCAGCTGAAAAACCAGGTAAGCTTACTTAAAAAATGCAGCAACGCCATCTAACAAAACCAATCACAACATAAACAAGGAAATCGAACCATAAATGTTACGACAACTAATCCTGGGTTTCACCCTTTTTCTTCTCTTCCAATCCAGCAAAACCCCTTTAATCTAAAACTCGTGAGCCCTAGAGTCACACAAAAATTCAAAACAATAAAGCCACTCATATCATTTACCATCACCAAATAACCTGCATTTGATCACCTAGGAAAACTTGAGTTAAAAACAAATTCTCTTCATCATAAAATCACCAATGAAATCTAAAAAAAATCCCTTCTAAAATCACTTAAATACATTCTCCCTTATAATCAAACATCCTAGACTACATCACAAATCAAACAAAAGGAACAGCTAAAGCTAGAATCACTGTTCTTCATAGGACCAGTACAGGCAAATAATGAAAAGGATGGCCAAAGGAGGAAGAGGGTATACCAGGGAATGAAACAAGATGAGAGCTACAACGGAAAAATATGTTTCAAAGCCTCCAAGAAAGAGACTTCGACCATAATGAGCGATGACCACTGAATAGTAAGTGACACCGATGATCGCGAGTACGAAAACAATCATGATCGAACCCAGAGCACGTAGTGCCGTGCAGAATTTGAACACGTTCCATGCCATCGAATTGAAACCCTTTTTTTTGTAAAAGAAAGAGGAGAATCTGAAGAATTTGGGAAGGGGGAACGAAGAAAGGAATTCCGTTCCCCGGAATTTGGGTCAATTAAGGAATTTGATGAAGCGGTTGGAATTTCCGATGCTAGATTTGGATTACAACTCTGAAATTCAAACATATATAATCAAAATTTCTGATGTACTAGAAGCAATGGTTTTCATTCAACACGGTTTTCTCGGGAAGCCCAGAAAGAATTTTCTTGGAGATTGATGGGTCTTCGTCACAGTTCCTTACCGGGCCTTTGCCAGTCTTCTAAAATATCTAATTTACTTTTGATTCAGTCGATCAAAATCAGAAAAAAAAATATATCCTTTTCTTAATTTTATCGATTTAATCTTTAAACCTCCCAAAATATATCAATATTGCCCTTTTTTCTCAATGAAATTATTATAATATTAATATAATACAATTATTCACCATGTTAATATAATAATATATTAAGTTAGTACATCATTATTCACATGTAAATCACTACGTTAATATTATAAATAATATCAAGATCGTAATAATCAAGCTTTGTAAACCCCTCATCTTAACAATTCTCGATGAAGCATATTGTAAGCAAGAAAAAACAGTTTAAGCATTCAACATCGTCTTTTAATCAAGCTTTGTAAGTGACATCAACCGATGGTATACAAGCCTGAGTTCGAAATAATTCGGTTTAGACCGTGGTGATCCGCTCACATTTTATGGCAGTGTAAAGCATGTCAATGCGAGTGATAAAGAATATAGCACAAAGGAAGTGAGCAACTTTACCTTCTTTAGGACCTTCTTATGACATCGATAGCCCTAATGACACAAGAAAAAGATTTGTTAGACGAGAAAAGTTATCAGCTGATTAAACGAGAAATCGTGCATTGTTCAATTACCTTGTCGGTGCCATAGATATAATCACAATAAGCGAAGACTGAAGCGAAGTTGCTCTGGCTTTGTCCTCCAACGTAGTGATGATAATCATGGTAATCTGCGCCACCATAAAACGGGATAAACCTCGTGGGAGTCCAAGGGAAGTCATATCTGCATTACGCAACTAATACCGTAAACAGCCTACTTTTGCAGCAGAAACCACTTACTAGCTTCATCAAACTAAACACTGACAAATAAACTGCATTAAGCCTTAATACGAAGCTATATACATGCTGGATACATACTCGTATCCGACACTCACACTCCAGTCTGAGTAACATAGGCCATTTGGTTAACTCTATGACTTCAAAGTCATTATACTCGGAAAGGTTTCATGTTAAAAATACAAAAGATGGAAAATGGAAAACGCAAGTTGCTTACTTCGAATGTTGTCTCCATAATAGACCTCATACCACTTTAAACCAGATAAGTAAATAGTCGGTGACATCATTGGTAGGCTGATATGCATGTGATTTTCTACTATATGCTTTGACAGTCATTCTTAACGAAAATACAATGCTCGTCGTCTCTACGAAGCTTGATTGGATGTCAAATGGGAGTAATTTGAGCTTTAATTATTGCCTAAAATAGCTTCCTAGCAGAAGCTCCTACAATGAACTCCTATTTAAACGGTAATCACGGATAACTTCAGCAGCTTGTTAACTCAAAATGCGAGTATATGACTGCTCTTTATCAGCAGGGTGGTTACGGACACGCAGTCAATTTCGAACTATAGAATTCAGTTCTTTATTCTCATTAAAAACAAAGTTAAACATATCAAAAGGAACATATCAAGAAAAAGTTAGCCACTGTTTAAAGATCCTAAAAAATCCAAGCAATTTAATACAGAAAGGAGGCTTCGAAAAGTAATGAAAAACATCCTAAAGTCAGCATCATTCAGTCACAAGATTAAAGCAACAAAGGGCATTGTGCAATATGGAAAAGTAAAACAACATTCAAAAAGGTTCAGCTCTAGCATGCATACCCACTGTGTGTCTCAATTGCTTCGATTTGCCGGAAAGCTATCCATAACCAAAACGTGATCATATGCCCCGGAGCAATTGCCGGCCCGAGAAAAGATGGAATCCCGAGGATCAGAACTTCCAACCAGTGCGCATATGGTGCGGCAAAGCCGATTGGAGAGGTGTATTCATGGTGAACCCGGTGAATTTTCTCGTAGCTCCATTTACCATGGAGGAAACGGTGAATCCAGTAATTGGTATAATCTTCTATACATGAAATATACAGTTAACTGTGCCACAATCTCTCATACTGATGGCAATGGCAACCCTGTTCGAATCCCGATCATCTGATCTGTTAAGAAAGGACTTGTATTAGTTGATAATCATAAACCCCAATTTTTAAGGTCGAAGATGCTGATTTGTGTAGCTTGCAGTAACAAGGTTACAGATTCAAAATCATTGAAATTAAGTGTCTAAATAAACAGAGCAATCTAAATGTTCAAATCTTCAAGAACTTCCACTAATGAAACTGAAAACAAATGATATTAAACAAATCTCCCAGAAAACTAATCAACAAAACATATATCATAATTACATCATCCACCTTGATGAAAATGAAAATCCCATTAAGTCCAACATAAAAGTGAAGTCAGGAAGTTCAAGAAATTCCTTATATTAACACAATTATATCCCACGAATTAACAAATTCCGCAATACAATAAATCACATTCTCCATAAACTCAGGCTTTCACCCAAAAAATTAATAAAATTAAACGATCCAACTCATAAAAATCCTGGAAAATTAAATGAGTTCTACCTTAATTGAAGGATAAGACACTAACTGCAAAGGACCCACGACAAGAACAAACATCCGCATAACATCCTTATAACACTGGAACATCTCAGTCAACGACAGGGTAACTTTGGGTTGAATCTTGTACTTGTCGAATCCCAGAGATCTCATCAGCTCGACGAGTACGAGAGGCAAAGGAACCAAGGAAAAAAACAGGAACAGGAACAGGAACAAGATATTGTGGCAGTAGAGATAGTTATCCGATTTTTTAGCCGAGTAACTGAACCACAGCGTCTCGGCCACCGTCAGGTTCCGTCCCATGAATGCGGCAGCCTCCTCGACTGTATTGAACGGCAACATTTTTCAGTGCATGGGCGCCGCCGGCAACTGCTAGTGGCGGTAAGAGTAGATTTGTCGCTTAGTCAAAAGATGCGGCAATCTAAGAGGAAGTTTAGCTTGCATGAATTGGTGAAACTCTTCTGAGATTCTGATTTACTTTTGTCTTTTTGCATGGAGATTTGGCAGTGAAGGGGAATAAATATACCATGATCCATTAGTATTATTTTTCCTTTTTTACATTTTTAACTCTTCATTTGTATTAATTTCATTTCAATCCTCACTAATATAAATATTAGAAAATTTGACAATACTTATTGTCACAAGTAAAAACATGCCCTAGGAACTTATACATACATTTATGTAGTGTAAGACAAACATAAAATATCAAGCATTTTAAAAGTTAACAAACTCTAAAGATTGGATCTTCATTGCTGAGTGTTCTTAATGATTTGCAGATTTCCCAATCGATAGTAAATTCGTAGTACAATAGTAGATGATTTTAATTGAAACAAACTTTTGATGAAAATAAATTTTGTGTTTGAATATAATTTTTTTATAATAAAATATAATTTTTAATCAGATCTAATTTTATAGGGTTAATTTTTTAATATAATATTTATTTTATGAATTTAATAGATTTAACTTGATTTAATTTTATAAGGTTGAATTTTTTTTAAATGAGTTCACGTTGGGCCGGAATTTTTAAAAAATAAGATCGGATCGAGTACAAATTTTTATTTTAAAATTCGAATTAAATTTCTAATATGATGAGACTTCTTTAGATCCAAGACAAATTAAATTTTAGATGAAAGAGGTTATTTATCTAATTTTATCGAGTTGATTGAAAACTTGACCTAAATCAACTCATTACGATCCCTACCTACGAAACAATATAAAAAATAATACAATACAATACAATATATATATATATATAGGGATAGTATCATGTTACATAATGTAAAACTCTTTTAGCTTTACAAAGATTTAGGATCGTTGGATGAGTGAAAACAGATGATTGAGACTAAAAATATGAAATTTGAAGATATTTACTAGAAAAAAATAAAGAGTTAATATCAGTCATCTATTTTCACTCATTCAACGGTCCTAAATATGTGTAAAAATAAAGAGTTTTATATTGTGCAAGTAGATCATAACCTATATATATACTGACGGAGCCGGCATATAACGAGGGGTGCCATTGGACACCCCAAATTTTTTTTTAGATTTTTTTTTAAAAAAATAGATTTAATATATTTTTTTAAAATTAACATATTTTAAAATAATATTGACACCCTTAAACATAAATTGACACACATTAATCATTTTCATCTACTTATAAAAAAATTCGTTCACCATTTTTAAATTTGACACCCTAAAATAAATTTTCTTTAAATTTGACACCTCAAAATAATTTTTCTCGCACTGCCCCTACACACATAGGTATCTAAAGTATTTTTTTTTATCAAAATAGGTACATAAAGTATTCAAATTTTTTCATCTAAGTACCTACAACATTCTTTAATTAATGTCGCATGTCAACTTTTTTAGAAATTATATGAAAAAGTTTGAATAGTTTAGGTACCTATTTTGACATAAAATACTTTAGGTATTTATTGTGACAAAAAAGATAATTTTAGGTACTTAAATAAAAAAGAATGTATACTTTAGTTACTTATTTGTGATATAAACATATATTCAAATTGGACCTAGTATCATTATATTTATCATTTAATCGAATGGTAATTCGTAAAGTAACAATGATTTAGAAAGCATTAAAAACAAATTGTGTATCCGTAAATGATGAGTAGGGTAGGGGTTTAATTCAGCTTTCACAGTGGGAGACTATCATAAGTCGTAGGAATAGGAAGCCTCTAATAATTAAAAGTCCTTCATTCAATAACCTAAAGCCAAAGATGGAATTCGTGTACTAGTTTAATAAAATCTCAAAATTACACCTTCATTTTAGTTTAATATTAATATTATATATGGTTTTCCATTTTATATAAATGTATGCATGCAATTTCAATTATTATAATAAAGCTAATTTTATTGAATAAAATGATGCATACAAATTTATTGGACTCATTCA